GTCTAAGTATGTATTGCAACGCTACCACTCGATTAAATATATTATTGATCATTACGATATAAGGATAGAAAAGATTTATATTAACAAAAACAAAGTTGAACCCTTGATTAAGCTTCGGTAGAGCTGAAACATGAGACCCTTGTTTGATCGTCGAGTATAAAGGATATGGCTTATTGGCTCTAGTGCAAATGGAAGATTGTTAGTGTAGGTGCCAAAGATCCAACCTTAGTTAAATAATTTAACTTATTGTAATATTACACTCTTTATTTTATTAATAAAGAAAGTCTTTCTATTAATTCTTGTTGTTAATATTTTGATAGAATTAGATAAAAATCCATATGATATGTATTGCATTAATAATTGATTGAAAGATGTGTGATAAATATTAATGCATTTAAAGGATATCATTAAATTTCTCAAGTTGTGGCATTATCAAGAATGAACATTGACTAGATATGGTAAGATTTATGAGTGCTATGCTTGTGCTATAAGATAGCAATAGGATATCTCATACATATTAACATGAAGATGCTAAAGTAAGCACTCGGGTGATTAATATTAAAAAAATATCACTTGGATGTGACTCGTCATGAGAACCCATTTGGTTTAATCTAAGAGATTCTTGTACGAGATGGATACAATCGGTCCTTTGACTTAAATTTCATCATAGTTATCTCATTAGAGGATTTATATACTTTAACACTTGTTTTGATGGGCTCAATCAACAACTACATGTGGGTGATTCATTTGGTGTACTAAAAATCTAATGAAGATTGGTGGATGACTAAGATAGAACATATCATTCCTTGTTTCCTAAACGAGTTATCATATTGCACTTCAATAAATGTATGTTCAAGAAATCTATGACCATAATATAAGTATACCAATAGAGTATAGTTGGCTTACTCTAGAGCTAAGACATTTAGGAATCGAAGAAAACTTGTGTGATCATAATCCAATAGATTATAAACCAAGTTCGAGATCACACTATGATAAATTAACATGAGGATTGAAGCTGTATGATAACCATACTTGTGAAAGATAATTATGGATTAATTAATCCTCCTAGGAAATTATGTAATCATGATATCTTACTAGAGACCAATCTAGATTTATGTATCAAAAGATAAAAGAGATGTCTTTTATTCTTGATACATTATCAACATATTTAAAGGCTTATTTAGTTACACGTTTAAGTATTCACATAATGAAAGAGAAGCAAAGATTTTGGAAAAAGGTTTCTGTTTTGAAAAGTTTCTTATTTTGGAAAAGATTTCTAAAAGTAAGAAGTTGCCTATTTTGAAAAAAGGTTCCTAAAGTGAAAAGTCTTCTATTTTAGAAATTATTTTCCTAATTTAGAAGTTAGTTTTAAATTTGGAAGTAAGTTACCTAAAAAGAAATTAGTTTTCTAATTTAAGTTTAAGGATAATTTGAAAAATTATTTCCTAATGTGGGTTTCCTAAAAATATCTAACCCAATTTATCTGGATAATCCAAATTAATTGATAACTAATGTGGTCCTTTCTAATTTAGTTTTGGTGGGAAGATAAACTTGGGTCCTATTGGATAAGGCTCGGGGTTTACAAGAATAAGATCAAACAAACTCACCCGCATTGTAACTCATTGTCCTAGAAGGACAAGGATGATACCCCCTATATAAATAATAGGGAGAAAGGCGGTAAAAAAAAAAAAGGGAATTAACCACACACACACAACAAAAAGTGAAAGAAAAGAGAGAAAATGTTTCTTTCTCAAAAGCTAAAGTTGTCGCATACCTCCTAAAAAAGCCAATAGTTAGCCCATAAACCCCGATTTGATTTTTAGAGAAAGGTTAAGCTGTACTGAAGGATTGGAGTTAGCACTTTGTGATTTCTATAGCTTTCTTTGTGGGTGTTTAAGCTCCGTGGATTATCGATAGAGGCCGTATACTTGAATGGATCCTTTTTCTACAAAGGCTAAATCGCACTACAATGGGTAATCTTTTACTCACACTTTTAATTCATATATGTATGATTAGTTGATTCAATGGCTTGATCTTGGGAGCCTTAGATGGAGAAATTTTTTTTTTGTTCTTCACATCCATAGGATGCATGATACTTCGATCTTTGGGTTGATTATGATTATTATATTAGATATATATAGGCATTATGGAATTATAGATTGAAATGAAATTAAGAAGTATTGATTAAATTATGATGTGATATTATGAGTTGGATGTGATAATATATTTTGATTAATATAGGTTTGATAGTTATTGTGTAGATATACGAGGCTTGCTTGAATCAAAATAAATCCCACTACTTTCTTGATTTTTCTGCTGGTCATGGTCCACTTCGAGTGTTGTGACATGAAGAGTAGCCTGGAATAAATTGATTCAGTTGTCATTTTTTAACATAGTAAGGAAAGGAAAGATGACTAAATCAAATCCATTCATTCTGAATTTAATAACTTATATTGAACGAATATGAACAAACAGGAATGAATTTATTCTTTGCAATATTGCTATCTCTGAGCAGGCTGCTCAACTTTCTTTATCATTAAAAATAGTGTACATAGTAAAGCTTTAAATAAATTCAAAAGAACTCCCTTGACACAACCACGGACATGAAATTTGATAGGTCCAGAGTCAAGATAGTGAAAGTTACATATAAGGTGAGATGAATCTGGTCTGTCACGACAAAGCACCTGACATTATGGTTTCTTGTATTCTATGGGAAAATATTTTTGAACTATGGAAAATGGTCTTCCATTCTTGTTGATCATGCTCATGTTTGGAATTGAGGGTCCTTGGCTTTTCTGGCCAGCCTGCACATCGTTTCACAAACACAATCATTAAGACTGATTTTCTAATTTGGCGGGCTAGCTGCTTTAATAAAATGTTCACAGTCCGATCTCCAATTAGGTTTGATATATAGTGAGGTCACGTCAAAAGCTGGTCCCGTCTCTAGAAAGTTGATTCATTGAAATTTGAAAATATTTGCATTAATCTGTGTGGGAATCCAAATAATGATAAAAAAATTTCATGGTTTAATGCGTTGCCTCTTCATCTCGCCAAACACCTCTCACTGTGTTGCTTCCCGCTCTGCTAATATTGATCACTGAGTCAAATCTGCTACTCTTTTTTCTTTTCTTTTCTTTTTTTCATTGCAGAAAACAGATCCGTATGAGAAGTGAAATGAAAATGGTTGTTTCATTGACATTTTCTGATTTTTTGGTTTAAATTTCTTGCTTTCTACATAATTCTACCAACTTCTCTTTAACTTTGGTGCAAATTGTACAAGCAACGCTCACAATATTTGATTGTCTATGACCGTTAAGCAGGTGAGAATTACCAATATTTGATTGAATTGATCAATTATTGGATAAAATCTGATCAACATTTGGTGGTAATACCAGACGAACTATAAGCAAGTTGTTTAAGAACAATATCGAGTGGAATCGAAGGCAACGTCCTATTGAAGAGATCTCATTATCAATTACACTAAAACCATTAATAATTATTATAACTGTTTAATTTATTTTAATCAGGCATTTGCATTTCACACAGACTTTAATTTATTTTAATTATGCATTTGCATTTCACACAGACACGGTGGACTTACAAAAACAAACGACAAGAAACTTAATTATAGACACTTGGATTTATGGAACCCATCTTTAACTCCTTTACTTGAAAGATTTTACGATTGGTAACTCAAAATTTTTTAAATCAATTTTTAATATTTTTTTCCCTCGTGACATAGCATTACTATTGTATTTAAGAAGTAACATCCTGATATTGGCTAGGGTTGGCAGTGATGAATCATAAGAATCACGGAAAGGCAAACCAATACCGTGGACCAGACTCAAGAGAGAGCAGAGACAACGACATGGCTAGAAGGAGTTGGAGACTGGCGGCTTCGGTCATTTTGAGACTGTATTGGGCATGTGATGCCATTTGAGTTGTCAGAATGAGGCATTTTCATGAGTTGTGAAAGCTGAAAACGCTCCTACATGATTGCCGAAAGCCAACAGCACTGAATAAGATCACTTCCAGTCGAATTTTCAACATACCAATCGTATTAAAGTTTTATTCTTATTCTTGCTTTTTCTACAATTTTGCAGCGTACAAATTTTAAGGAAATTTGAACAATGCTGCTCATTCTTTTGTCTGAGAGAACAAAGGATGAGATTAAAGATTTGTTTTTTCTTAAATGACTAATTTGACTGGCATATCATGACCAAGCGCTTTTCCTTTTTTTCCTTGTTTAATGATATAATAATAGATAGAACATGGTAGAGATCCTGCAATAAATCAAATACAGATTTTGTCAATTTTGTTGAATTGAATGCAACATGTTTGGTTAGGACATGCAAACAATTATATGACCACAGATTTTTAATATAGTCAACGGCCTTGGAAATGGACACAGTCAATCCACATCTCCCGTGCATCATAATTCAAGTATTTCTACAGAGTCATATATACAACTCGAACTTGATCAATCAAAACTAAAGGGCAAGAAGTTTCCAAGAAGGTCAGGTGGCTGCATAGAAGATAGGCCATCCCATTATACCAAAACTATTATATAATCATTTTAATACTTCTAGCCTAGAAGCTACGCTTTTTACTCTTCTCTGCTCTGCACTAAACACTACTGTTCCTATTCCTTCTAACCTTACACTCATCCTAATATCTGGGAATTTCTCACCAGCTCATTTTGTTCTCCGGTTTCTCTGTTTCTTCTGCTCTTGACAATAAGGAACCAACGTCTGATCCTTCTTTTCGAAACCAGATGAAAGAAGCTAGGCTCTCGGTATCATAGTTTTCCTAGTGCTTGCGATCTAATTGATCTAGCTTCTTACCCAACAGTTCCAAAACTTGTGTTCTCTCTCAAAATCTTTTTCATCAGGCCATCCTAGATAAGTAGCATTCAATATTCCACCTTTTCCACTTTCTTGTTCGACAATCAGATACAAATTTCAGCACATCTCATTTCCATACTAATGGTGATTGAATCCATGGATCCACCTTCCTTTCCAATCAATCCACAAGCTCCTGCCAGCAATCCTTCTTTAAGGACAAGCTCAGATGGAGATTCTGCATATAACAGTGAAACGAATGACTTCTCTCATGCTGTTTTGAAGTACATACATGACATACTAATGGAAGATGACTTGGGGGATAAAACCTGTATGTTACAGGACTGTCTCGCTCTCCAAGCTGCTGAAAAGTCCCTTTATGATGTCCTCGGCGAAGAATATCCACCTTCTTCGGATCACTGCCCTCCTCGTTTGGATCAAATCAATGAGAGCCCAGATGAGAATTTCACTCAAACTACAAGGGTTCAATCTTCTGTTTTACAATCATTTTACCCTCCTAAAGGCATCTTTCTGGTGCCATATTTACATAAAGAAATGCAGTCTTTTGGGCAGTTCGATGGAGCCATGGGAAGTGCTAACAAGTCCCTTCCATATGGTCATTCTGGGAAATTTTCTCCATTGAAGAAGGCATCGGATCCTCCAGAGCTAGAGGAAGAGGAGGTAGCAGACAGAATCCAGAAGAATGGAAGGAACTACTCATCAAATCAGACAAGGGGAAGGAGGAATCATCAACATGACAATAATGGTTACTTAGAAGAAGGGAGGAGCAAGAAGCAATCTTCGGTCTCAGAGTCCGTACACTTGGAGCTTCTTGATGATGCCTTTTTGAACAGTATTGAGAATGGAAGACACATATCATGTCCTCTGTACGATAATTCACGACGTCCAGCGACAAAGAAGTTTCTGAAAAATGAGCAGCTAACAGCATCTGATATGCGAACGAGAACACTGGCTAATAAAAGAGAGATGGACCTGGGGACTCTGCTAATTCTTTGTGCACAAGCTGCAGGAAATGGGGATCAAAAGACAGCAAGTGAGCGATTAAAGCAGATTAGGCAACATTCTTCTCCTTTCGGGGATGCAAATCAAAGATTGGCACATTATTTTGCTAATGGCCTGGAGGCACGCCTTGCTGGCACTGGAATGTTTCTCTGTGGACCAATTACGCAAAGTTCGACACCAGCTGCTGACATCCTGAAAGCTTATGAGCTTTATGTTACAATATGCCCTTTCAGGAAGATGACAAATTTGTTTGCAAACAGAACAATTGGGAGAGTAGCAGATAAAGCAACAAGCGTGCACATTATTGATTTTGGCATTAGCTATGGATTTCAATGGCCTTGCTTTATCTACCGTCAGTCATTAAGGCCTGGTGGACCTCCCAAGATTCGCATTACGGGAATTGAGCTTCCCCAACCAGGTTTTCGGCCTGCAGAAAGGGTTGAAGAGACTGGCCGTCGTTTGAAAAGATTGGCTGACAGAATGAATGTTCCTTTGGAGTACAATGCCATAGCCCAGAAATGGGAAACTATTCAATATGAGGATCTCAAGATCGAGAGAGATCGAGATGAGGTGATTGTTGTCAACTGTATGTACCGATTGAAGAACTTACCTGACGATACAATGGTGTGCAACAGCCCTAGGGATGCTGTTCTTAAATTGATCAAGAGAATCCATCCTGATATATTCCTCCATGGAGTGAGTAATGGTTCTTACAACGCTCCCTTTTTTGTCACAAGGTTCCGTGAGGCATTGTTCCATTACTCTGCATATTTTGATATGCTTGAAGCTAATGCACCTCGAGAAGATCAACAAAGGTTGTTGTTCGAGAGGGAAATGATTGGAAGGGATGCTATAAATGTGGTAGCATGTGAGAGTACACAAAGGGTTGAAAGGCCAGAGACATACAAGCAATGGCAGATGAGGAACTTGAGGATTGGATTTAGGCAGATCCCATTTCATCAAAGTATCATAAGAAGAGTGAAAAGCATTGAACCTGATTATCATAAAGATTTTATAGTTGATGAGGATGGACAGTGGGTACTTCTTGGATGGAAGGGAAAAATAATCCATGCTATTTCAGCTTGGAAACCCGCCCTGGAGTAACGCATAAAACATAAAACTCTGGTGTTTTTTTTTTTACTAGTAAAATTATGCTTAATTGCTAAGAATCAGTGGATTATGGTCTATGCTGAAGAACTATAACAGTTATCTTTTCAATCGTTTGCTGTACAATCTCTTTAAATTTAAATTTGATATCACCAAAAAATAATTATTTCTAATTATCCATAAATAATAAAAATTTAATCTTGTTTTTGACTAAACTAAAACAATCTCTTTAATTAACACTAGACTACGGCTCTTGATAAGCATGCAACAAATTAAATATGCTAATTAACTTGGATTAGTGAGTAGTTTTATTGTTTTGATTTTGGAATCTGAATTATGTACCAAGAAGACATAAATTCCTGAGTAAATATGCGGCAAATTAAGGAAACTAATACGGTTTTCCCATATATCGAACATTATTCGTTTAACTCTGCAGTATCAACCCATAGAAAATAAATATTACATCATAAAATGATCTCATTTTGGTCATACATATTAACTCCGCAATTATTTCAAGTTCTCTTTCTTGAATGATTAACATCATACTAAAGTAGAAAAGGAATTTAAAAATGTATAACGGTAATTTTAAAAACAAAAATAATATATTTGAACACACACACACTATATATATATATATGTTCAAATATTATTTTTGCGCATATATAATTCATCTTCTTAACAATGTATGGATTTTGATTTAACATATAGTAATTAAGTTGAAAATTAAAATTTAACAATGTGAGTGAGGACTTATTCATTGAGGGAGGAAACTATCCAGCCAAGGACCAACTGGTCTTGACGATAATGGGCAACATTGGCGGGATTGGGGATATTATCTTCGAGGGTGGGGGTTGGTGGTGTCATGGTTACATCAATGTGATGAACAAAATCATGGCAACGCAAGAGAGGAAGAATTTGGGTCTGCCAAAGAAGAAAGTTTGTAGAGGTTAATTTAAATTGAGTGTATGAGATCTATTTGGATGAGAGGTAGATGGTGTGGTAACATGTGAGTGAGAGACAATAGCAGTCGAATGAAGATAGGGATGAAATTTCAACTCATCCCCGTCCCATGCTCCGCTCGTGATGAAATTTTAAGTATCATTCAAAAAATTTCGCTTTATCCCCACCCCATGACCCGAGTGAGGTGGGGCAGGGCTCCGACAGGACATGGCAAATTATCATTCCTAAATAAAGATCATCAACACCTTTGGTTGCAGCAGCCATGGCGTACAAGATGGTCTGGTGAAAAAAAAAAAAAAGTGAGATAGGTACAAGCTTGCTAGCGGCAAGAAATGAGAGGAGAATGGCTCTAATGCCACCAAGAAGTTTACAACTAAATGAATTCCACATACTTGTGGTTTCTGTATATTGGTCTATAAATAGGTTAAAAAGAGTGATACAATTATTGTTAAAATATTTGAAAAGAATCCTATCTGATATATAGGATATTTGAATACTGATTATTTTAACTCAATTATCTTAGCTTATCATTATTTTCTTCTTCCTTGAAATTTTTTTAAAAAATTAATGGCTAAGCATTTCTGAAATTTTCTTACTGGAAATTTTGGATTTTTGTATTGCTTAAACACTTTATTTAAAATAATAATAATAATAATGTTAAAGACCGAGTATTGTAGGCATTGTTGTTAACAACGCGTTTCAACTCGTAGAATCGTACGAGGCTACGATTCAGAATACACCAATGAAAAAACGTACTTGAAAGAAATCGTATTTGAATCGCTTTCCGAAACGTCACGTGTTTGCATCAGAGTCTGACCGGCCTCTTTGTGCAACTTTATTTACCCAAGCCCAAAGGGAAATGGATTCCTTTACCAACTGAAGCCCATTATTTATTAGATTAAACCCATAGATAGTTTGCCATATCAGCTCCCAGGTTTTTTTTTTTTTTGGGATAATTTGCACCTCCAAAGAGAGTAAATTATAAATCAAGAAATGAATTAATTAATCCTCTTAATTTTAAAACCCCATCGTTTATTTTTTTATTTTTTATTAATTTTTTTAAGAAATAAAAAGAAAAAAATAAGTAAAGATTGATGAAACAATGATACATTTTATTAAATAAAAAATATTAAATTAATCATCATCAACACTTATTCAAATGATTAAATAATTGAATTTTGAAGCTAGGAGACTAATTAATTCGTTTCTAAAAAGAGAGGGACTAATTTAGAATTTACTCCCTTCAAAGGCTTTCTTAGTTTAACAAAAAAAAAAGAAAGAAAGAAATTAATTGAAAGTCAAGCCATAAACTATAGATCTTGAAAAGAAGGCATGCTAAAATGCTAGGATTCTCCATTTTCTGCTTTTTAATTTTTTATTTAATTTTGATGATAGTATCTTCATTAATTGTTTGTATGAGATTATTGTTAATAAAAAACTAAATATGGATTAATGATAATAATTAAGTTTTTCTTCTTCTTTTTTCCGAACTATGTATGTAGTGATTGTTGGTAAATAAAACAGTTACTATCTCAGTACTAATTTGTCACTATAATGATTTTAACATTTACAAAGTCCTAATTGACTAACATACAGTTTGGTTTGTATTTTAGTTGAATACTTTTTCATTCTTCCGTTGCCTTTTCCCATAAGTAGTGAGCGTGTGATTCTACAATAATATTTGAAATGTAGATTTATTGAGCTCGCCTTACACTTTTGTGATATATTAAATTTTATGCATTGGGTGTATACGATAAAGGAGAGGATCGAAAAGTATAAGAATATGATAATTTTTAACATGTATATCTATTTTTTAATTAGCTAATTAGCTATTAAGTTTAGTTTGTAAAATCTTAAGATTTTACGATTTTATTTCAGTTTATAGATCTTTCAATGATCCTGGTTAAAATTGCCATTCTAACAATCTTGGTTGTAGTGTAAAAACGCTTTTTTTTTAAAAAAAAAAAAATTCCTTTAAACATTTTGGAAAAAAAATTTGACATAAAGCTTATTTTTAATTGTTTTAAACATTTTTTTAAAAATATAACTGGTATCCATCTTATAATTTAATGCAATTTAGTCTAATTTGACTGAATTGATTAAATTTTGCAAACAAAAATAAAACTTGATTAAATTTTTTCATGGAAATTTATTTATCGAATTGATACACACATATTAGTGATTTGTAAATTTTTTCCGTGAAATTTTCATACTAAATTTTCAAACAAACCGATGTGTCAAACTATAAGTAAATGAAAGAGGATGGAAAGTCTGCATTAGTTAAAAAAAAAAAAAAAGTTTTGAAGTACAATGCTCAAGGTTAACAAATTAAATGGATGAGGGGCTGGATTAATAAAAATCAAAATAGTCAAGGGACCAACGAGTTCATTTAACAAAAACAATTAATCCGATAACGGTTGTGTGGGGCGAGCATGCGGTGGACTCGTGTTGCTAAAACCCCCGTGTCCGTTATGGTGGCTTGAGGTGTACGTTTGATGGTGGCTGGACCGGTGCGTGAAGGTGACAAGTCAGAGGGGGCGGATTCAGCTGATATGGACGGAGGAATATTCAATTCATTCATTTTATGCTCTTTCTTACTTCATGATAGCTGCTCTCAACAAATGAGGGTGGAGACACAATTACTTGGAATTTCACTACAGAAAGTGACTTAAACATTGAAAAACCTTACAAGACTTGCTGGTTAAACAATACAACTATATTAAACTGCATAATTATTTTTAAAAATCTTAAAACTCTAGTGCTTGTGATATTTAAATTCTATATTTCTAACATCAACACGATAGTTACAGATAGCAGACATTGGCACCTCATACATGATAGTATTTTACTCAATACATTTAATATTTGAGCAGAAAATAATAAAGTATACATCATAAAACCATGAAACTTGATAGTACTTGATACCTAGGGGAAAAAAATGTATATTATGAAATAATAAATATCCATAACTATTTTATATTTCTACTACTTATGTGATTTAATTTACCTTTAATATAAGAAATTAAAATGATAATCCAATTAATTTAATTATTTATACATCATTTAATAGGTCATAATTCCTTCAAATTCTCTTTCTAATCTTAAAGCCTATAAACATGCTTGATTAATTATTCATTAATTTTAGTAGATGTATTTTTGTAGAAATTGAGATAATTATTTGAAGTATCAAAGAGCTTGTAGTCCAGTGGTAGTGGTCTCTTACAATAAAGCATCACGGGTTTAAATTTTAACATACTAGTTCTGCTAGGAGTCTTGGGTGTATGAGTTAAAAAAAAAAAGAAGATAATTATTTAGAGTTTTTATCTCTTGTATTCACTCATAATGAATTTATTTTTCTATCATCTTTCTCTTCGGTTTTATTATTGTTATCATTTCTTTCATAACATGTTATCAATATGAAACTCTAATCAACCAAGATAATAGACAATGAGATATGTATCTACAATAATAATAATAATAACTCAATCATTGGCTTGTTTCTCTACACGAGTGTTCTACCAAAAGATTTAAATTATCTAAGTAATTAAAAGCTATGTATCTTATTTATCCTTTACTTTAAATCCGATGAGATGTAGAGTATACATTTGAAAAAGTTGAATGAATGAATATTTATAATATAATGATTTAATGTCTATTGTTTGAAAAGCTTAAGTTTTATTATTATATTTTCTAAAATTATTATTATATTTTGTATTATAGAATTTATGTCAAATCAAACCTCATAAAACTTAATTTTGTGGCTCTTAACATATCAAGCAACAATTATTGATCATGGGTACTTGATACTAATAAAACATTATCTACTTTTCATACTTCGAATATGCTCATGTAGTAGCGATATCGAGAAAAAAAAATTTTAAGAAATAATCCGAATTGATGAAATAAAATAACGACCTATTCTACTCCATTCCCGAAGACGTATTGATGAAAAATTATAAATCTCGTCCAACTGATTCTACTCCATTCCTTGAAATGAATGCGACAACTTATAATAATTTTAAAAATGAATGAAGTCG